ACAAGAACAAGAACAAGAACAAGAAGGACAAGAACAAGAACAAGAACAAGAAGGACAAGAACAAGAACAAGAACAAGAAGGACAAGAACAAGAACAAGAAGAACAAGAACAAGAACAAGAAGAAGAAGAAGAAGATTGGTCGTAGCCCGTTTTTTGTTCCTCTGCTTTATTATTTTATAAGGGGGATAAGTTACACCGGTCAAGATTTCGAGACACAGGGAAAAGGGAAATCGCAAAAGTAAGATAAAGCTCGTTTTATCTTTTGGTTTATGTGTGCTTGTTGTTCCTACACTTATCATAGTGTGCTGTTCCCTGTTCGTGTTGGCCGCAAATGTTGTTCTCCCGGACTCCTGGTCAATGATTCTACCTTCGATGTAGGTTTTGTTCATTTTTTACACCTTTGTTTTCACACAGACATGGATGTAAGGATTATTAATCCTAGTAAGTTGAATTTTTGTATTCCATTTTTTTACAGCCATTGAACTTGATCATTTTCCCCCTTTATTTTCGTTGTTTTAAATTCCTTTCTTTTCAATGCCTAGTCATGGTTTGGGTCGATTCGCTAGCTACTTTATCACTTATTATCATTTTCACTTTTACTGCCAAATTTACTTCATTTTGCCCTTTGCTTTTGTTTAATAGAATGAATTACATTGTATGCTGACATTCAGGTAGTTCCTGTGAAATTCAAGCCGCCATCACTTTAAATGTGTTACTCTCAGTACTTGTCATTGTGCCCCTACTCCTCGTAATACCGGCTTGATGTGTTATTGACGAACCTATGTTACTGTTTCCCCACCCATCAGTCAAACCCGACAGCAAACACTCTGTGTTTCTCCAGTCTTCATATTTCCTGTCTTCAGAAACTTTTGAATCGGCTTCTGTGACGTAGCGGTTAAGCGTTTTACCGTCACAAGCAGGGAGACCCGAGTTGGATTTCACAGTGGGGAAATTTTTGAAGGAATGTTGTATTACTCTACTCTCAGCCCTGGTTAGCTCTGACGAGCAAGATCGAAGCAAACTCCACAAATAATCCAAATTTATTAACATTTTGAAAATCATCAAAAAACATTTGAGGAAGTAAGAGTTAAGGTTATTGTGTAACGTCTATTCCTAGTTCACTTGCAAGTTTTCTGTGAAAAAACAAGTTAGGCAAAATAGGTATTTATTGGTCTTGTGTTCGCCTCCCTGGTCCACATGTTACCTGAATGATTGTGTAGGGGGAGGGGGGAGGGGTAGGGGACTCCCCAGCCCCTCCTTTGTGGTCCAGAAATTGTGTATTGGTGTCAAGCGTCCGACGTCTGATCATTTTGGGGAACGCTTGACATTTCTTACGATGAACGACAGGTCGGAGACATTGTGTTCTTGGTGTGGTTGTCAGTGTGACACCAGGAGAGATAAGGATAGATAGGCAGAGTTATATGTACACACAGGTGTGCAAAGGATTGACAGAATTGTATGGACACGCAGGTGTGTAAAGGAAAGACAGAATTGTAGGAAAGCAGGGGTGCAAAAGATAGACAGATTGTATGAACACATATGTCAGAGGATAGACAGAATTGTATAAAAACAGGTTTTCAATAGATGATGACACTGGTGTGCAAAAGATAGACAGAATTGTATGATCACATTGGTGTGCAAAAGATAGACAGAGGTGTATAAACCCATAGATCTAGATATGCAAAGGATAGATAAAATTGTATAAAAACAGGTGGGCAAAAGATAGACAGAATTGTGCGGTCGCATAGATGTACAAAGGATAGATAGAATTATATAAATACACAAATGTGCTCATGGATCGGGTCTGGCACAAGGCTGCCCTGAGCCTGATAAGGATGGTAAACACGTTGATTCCTTAGGGCAGAGGTAATAAGATTTGGCGCTATACTAAAAAAAATAAATTAAAAATTGAACTCTGACTGAGCAAGTGTTCTGTTTTTATGCTTATGACGCATAGTATATTATTTTCCCACCCTCTTTCACGGTCAGACTCGAATCTCTTCTTTGCCCCACTTTGTAAAATTCACCTCCTTTCGGCCTCTACTCCTGTTTTCTTCTACTCCTCGCCTTCTTCCTGTCCTATTTCTTTCCTGCCTTCTTTTCTTTCCCTTTTCTTTACCACCTCCACCCCCCCCCACCCCCAATATTTTTCTCCTTCTTGCCCTCTACTTTACTTATGAAATGGTTTGGAGAAATATAAAACTGTTCAAGATCAACTTTAAACTACCGGTCTTTCCTTCAATGATAGTCTTCCTGGGACGAATAGTAGATAAATGGCTGAACTTCAGACTTAAGCTAGTGGGTGCCGTGCTTTTTGTAATAACACTGAAGATTGCTTATTTTATGTTTCTAAGATGTTTGTTTGTGAAGACCTCATTGGTAAAGTATAATTTAGTTCTCAGCTTTGCAAAAGTGAGGGCTTTGCAACATTTTTTTCTCAGCTTTAAGTAAGAAAGCATACTTTATACAAGCTGAATATCTCCTTTTTTCTACTTTTGTTGTTATTGTTGAATATTATACAAATTCTTTACTTATTAATTTGCCCTTCATTTGTATGGTTATTCATTTCAGGTCAGCACTTTAAAAATACTGCGCAATATTATATTGATCAAAAGAATACCAGCACCTTGTTACTTAAACATTTTTCCCACATGTTGTACTCTACAAATTTTTTGTTATGGCCAAAAACCAGTCAAGTGAACCTGGTGCTTGACGAAAGTTTTATATACACCTTTATATTCCAACTTTTAAGCCTTTTACGAAGCTTATACTCTTGTCTTGTATGCGATTTCTAACTGCATGAAAAAAGACACAACAGAAAACTCAAAATTGTATTGAACAGTTATTTTCAATTATAAAAACGATAAAGACGCCAGAATTTCCTACTTGTCTTTCACTCTTTTTTACATTAATGAATGAAACTTTAAAAAGATTTGAGTGCACATGTTTTGTTTTTTCTTGATTCCTACATTTTACAGTCATGTGTATTACAATTCTCTCACTCTGATTTACTATGTACCATAGTTTTACCTAAGAAAGAACCATATAATGTACACAATGTGACTTCTAGATTAACAAAATATATGAAAAGATAGATAGTAATATTGTCCTAAAATGAAGCTACTGAGACAGGAATGGTTTCATAAAATGCATCTTTAAATATGTTTTTTAAATTTTAGACTTAGAAGTCGTATATGTCAAGGGATGTAGAAGGGTATTCAAAACTAATATTGTCCTAAAATGAAGCAACTGAGACAGGAATGGTTTCATAAAATGCATCTTTAAATATGTTTTTTAAATTTTAGACTTGGAAGTCGTATATGTCAAGGGATGTAGAAGTGTATTCAAAACTAACGGAGTAAAGTGGGCAAATGATCTTTCCTGGGGACCGTTAAAAGAATACTGATCGCCTGATCTCTGTGATTTGATTATTTTGTCTTTGCTTATGTGTGTAATTTGTTACTTTAGAAATATATGCCCATTAGTATCCTTATGATTTTTCTTTGACTGCTTTGATGCTTTCTTGCTCTACCTTTTTTTAAAAATTGAATGGGAAATATGGCATAGTTTTAGTAACTTTTTGCTTCACAGCAGAGTTGTTTTAATTTTGGTTCATTTGGTCAAAATGAAATTTTTTAATATATATATATAAATAAAAAATAAAAACTTCAGAAATTGGCTTCCTGTTCTCATAAATCAATGATTTGTGCATGGAAGTATACAAAAAAACTCTTTTTTTATGAGACGTCCATGCTTTGTATAACGGAAGCAGGACTCAATATTCTTATGTTCTGTTATTACTGAAATTCAAATTTCAGCCACCATGATTCTATGTCCTTTCATTGCGAGCATCTACCTTCATTGCTGATGTAGTATTGACTCTTGTGTCATTGAATTTCAGGCACAAAGCTTTTTTCTAAGATTGGTTTGTCTTGGGCAGGGTCACTGCAGCCTGTGGGCCAGATATGATAGGCGAGGTCCTCTTATTTGGTCGGCTGCCATGCCCCTTTGCGGAGGAAAATGGAAAAAAAATAAAATTAAAATATGTGTTTGTAGCATGCTTCTGACGTAGTCACCAAGATAATCTGATTATTTCATTGACGTCAACAGTAAAAATTTTATGTTATTTTATAGACTTATTTACTTCTAAATAGTGTATCACACTCCTGCTTGGCGTAAATGTGACAAATCTTTCTTTTAGCACATTTCCTACCGCAAACAGGATTTCTCCGTTTGTCCCTGGTAATCCACACAAAAGGATTCCACAGCCATATGTGTTTGTAGTCTTTATTTGTTTCTTTTGTTTTTCGTATATTGATTAAAAAATTCATACATTTGATTTCTATTATTTTATTAATCTATTTATTGTATTGTACTGGACAAACTGGTTATTCGGTCTACTTTGAAAAAAGCTTGATTTCCCCTTGTCTTGAGTCTGTCTTGTATTCATATCCTGTGTCTCACATTCAGGCTATGTTCTAGTCTCTTTGATTTTTTTGTTGGAACTCTTGTTTTTTTTTTTATGGTGTTTGGCTGAGGGAAAGGGGTTGTTTGTAAGTTTGTTTTTTCCCCAGTTGAAAGGGGAGGGTTGTTGATTTTTAGTTTGTACATGTCTTTTGTACATTTGTTTTCCATTTATCATCCTTTGACAATGACTGGCAGATTAGGTATTACAGAGTTTTCATTGAGCAAGTTGTGCTTTTTCTTTAACCAAATCTTTCTCTTGTCCTCTTTCAGACTACCAGCACATCTCCAACCCACCAGAGGATGCAGAGCAGCCGGCCCCAGCCCCCACAGGGCATCATTCCAGACAAATCTTTATCAACTCCACCCAGCAGCACAAGTTTTGCCACAACAAGATCAGGTGAGGTGCCCTCTTGATTCTCTTTGGTGCTGGTTGCTGTCCACTATCTCTATGAAAAGTTCCAAAGTTGTTGAGTATTAAGATATTCGGCTGTTGTAGAGCAGACTGATTTATTTACCGGAGGTTCAAATGCAGGTGGACATAAAGTTTTTCTCACAGCTCTTAGCTTGGCATTGTGATTAAGAGTTTACGGTCTTTTGCTGTTGAAATAGCATATTTTATATTTTTTAGGGTTTATAGATTAAGTGAAGAGCATAGAGTGACACACACAAGCTGTAAATATCATTCTCCCTGAGTTGTCCTGAAGAATGTTGAGAGCCATAACTGGTCACAGAGAGCATCGGCTTCATCCAATGAGATGCACATGCTGTGTGTAACGGCTCTGATTGATCCAACTCCAGTGAAATATTTTGACTAGCAGTGGCTCGTTAACAGTGTTGGAGGGAAGTCTTTAACAGAACAGTGTCCAAAGTCCAGGTGCTCTGGTGTGGTTTGCCTTTTCTTTCCTATCAAATATCTACCTTTCTTCTCTCTCCTCCTGTTCACTGTATGTTACTCTCTAGTAACACCTCTCATCTTCAGCACTCTTATGACTAAATTTATGTTGCTAGTGCCATAAAACGCTTACTAAAACCAAATTAAAAACTCCAATGCAGTGCTGGTTATCTTCATAATACAAGTAATCTAAATTTTGTGTACTGGTAAGTTTGAGAAAAAAAGGAGTGATATTTTCAGTTTATTAGTCCCCATCTAGAAGTTTTTATGCAGCCACTTGATAATGATTGTATGCAATAATGTATTAATTTCAAACGATTCTATGCCATGGACTGCCCATTCTAGAGTTTTCAAGTATTCCAGAAACTCTTATCTGACTTTACCTTGTTGAATTAGTAATGGTGCCTCTTGTTTTAAATTGAAGATTTATTATTTAAGGCAAACGGTTCTTAAAATAGGACAACATAAAAGTCCTTTGTTTTCCCTCTTCGTCATGACTGAGCCTCAAATTATTTTGCAATTTATACTTTCTTATTGGCTATAAAGTCTTTCTCTTTACTCACTGAAGACAGGTATAATCATGTAAATTTGGGTTAATAACTTTTGTCCAGCTGACAAAAAAAGTAATATGATCTTAAGCTTCTGATAATGAGGGACCATTACGCATTCCTCTCTTTGTGGTCACATGTTTCAATGTAATCTTGTTTGTCTGAATTAGGTATTTTTATGGCAATATTCGTTTTCCGGTTTCCTCCACACAGCACTGCCAAGTACAATGTGTTCACATTCCTGCCCAAGTTCCTGTTTGAGCAGTTCAGGAAATATGCCAATATTTTCTTCTTGTTCATTGCCCTCATGCAAGTAAGTAGATGCTACCTCACCCTATTGTCTCCTTTTGTTTGAAAGGGTTTTATTTAGAAAACGGTTTAGTAAATTTGTTTTTCTCTCCAATTTCTTTTTATCGCCTGTCTAATGCATTCTTTCATCTTTATATGGTTATAGGTTTATGGAGAATAATAAATATCAGTCTGGGATCAGGCTTAGGTATGATAAAAATCTTAAAATAGTGTCAATTTTTTATCCTGAGTTCATTATATTTTTGTGTCTGATGATATGGCAGGGAGAAAGGTAGTCACTAGTGATAGATTTTTTAAAATATTTACTTTTCATAAGTTTTGCGGAGTGTGACAGTGTTTCGATAAAGATGGTACAAATTGAAAAATATTAAAATCCAAGTGTTTATTTTACTCTCTCTGATCATGAAACTGAGGTTATAGGTGTTTTTTAATGTGGTTTTACCCCAGGTGCCAAAGATATTTACCAAAGTAAGTCCCATCGTCCATTTTTGTTCATTGCAGTACAGAAATGACCTCAGTCAAAGTTATATTTTTTTTGTTGTACAAGATGTCCTTGTCTAAGACGACCACTTTTCTCGTCGGCAGTGGGTGGCCATCTTGGACAATTTCGACTGTGCATA